GGGGACAAACAGAGCTAGGGAACTCAAAATTGTCCCCGAGGGGTGCGTGGTGCCTTCGGCAGAGCCCCAGGGCTAGTGGGGCTGGCATCAGCAGGGGGGCCGAGCGGCGAGGGATGCGCTGGCCTGGCCCAGGCAAGGAGCTGGCAGGGTGCAGCATCTGCCAGCAGTGCCGTGTGTCACCGCTGCCCTTCGCTCTGCCTGACCTTGGAGTGACGGCAAACAAGCTGGGAGAGGCCGGGCAGAGCGCTGCCTGCCAGATGCCTGGGCAATGATTAAGCTGAAGGCAGCAGGGAGTCTGGGGGGCACAGGATGCTGTCCCAGACCTCGATGGGGCTCTGGGTGACACGGGCAGTTGTGTGCAGGGTCCCATGGGCGATCCCTGGGTGCGTTCCATCTTCAAAGCGTGCTCGGGAGTGCAGAGGGTTGTGCTGGGTGCCACCTCCTGCATCTGGAGTGTGGGTGGTGATGCAGGGCTCTGGCTCATCAGGATCAGACCTTTGCACTCCCCTGAGGGTGCCGCTCCCTGTCCCGCTGTGCCAAAGGTCCCTGCAGCTCTCCAGGATGAGTCCTGAGAACAGGAAAAGACATTTCCCACCCATGCTTGTCACTGCTGATTGCAGATACGTCTTCCCTGTGCCTGGGTTTGGGTGCTTCAGCTGCAGGCAGCGTGCCCCACGGCCCCGTGTCACCAAGGGCTCCCCCCGGCCCAAGCCCTGCCTGTGGGGTGCATGGCGGGTGAGCCGGCGTGCACAGGCCTGCACCAGGGGCTTGCATGCAATGGGCAGAAGTGGCTGCGGGCAGCTGGGCACAACCCTTCGACGGGACGCTGGCATTGGGGAGGGGGACAGGGCTGATGGGCAGGGGCTGGGCAGGGGCGGGGTGGGCAGGGGCTGGGCAGGGGCTGGAGCGGGGTAGGAGGGCAGGCAGGGTGCGTGCGCACATTCCTACAAGGAGAGGAAGCCAAGGGGGGGTCACTGCCCCTGGGCAGTGCCAGGGGTACCCCCAGTTCCGCATGGAGCCAAGCCCATCCCTCTCACCCACTCAGTCTTTTTGGGCAGGGCTTCCTCTGAATGACTTCTTGCCAGCTTTGGGACATGCCTGGACATCCCCAGGCATCCAGCTGCCTTGGAGGGGCCTCTGCCCTGGCTGCTGGCATCCAGGGTGCTGCCACCCACCCCACAGGCATGCAGGGTGCCTGGGCACAGCGGGAATCCCATACAGATGGTTCCGGATCTGCCCAGGGCACACGGCCCTTGCCCCCACCTCGGCCAGGGGATTTGGCCCAAACCGAGGTGCCTGCCACAGCCCCGTCCCAAGCCAGTCACCCTGCCATCCCTTGCCTGCTGCCAGCCCAGCAAGGGAAGGGCAAAGCCCTGCTGTGGGGTGCCATCCCTGTGCCTGGGGACCCATGGGCACATGCACCCCATGTGCACTACCTGGGGAAACCCGTGACAGTGGAAGTATCAGGATCCTGTGTCAGGATATGGCCACTGTGCCCGCGAAGATGCGGCTCTGCTGCCTGCTCCCAAGCACTGGCATCAAGGGGTTGAGCTTTTCTGCAGAGCCCGGTAACACTGTGAGTCTCTCGGTTTCCAAAACCCCCAATTCTTGCTGCCGAGGAGTGCTGGAAACATGGCCCGAGTTATGCTGAAATGTTTGGTACACAGGCAGCAGAGCAGAGCTCTGCCTGTCGCCCTGCCTGCATTGCTGCCTGCTCCTGCCTGGAGCAGGAGCTGCTGCCCTCTCCTGCTCCCGCGCAGAAGTGCTGCCGGGTGTCTTGGCAGTCCTGCCCTGGCTCCAGGAGGTGGTTTTCTCCCGCCGGACCCTGGGTCCAGGATCTGTCCCCCTACCACACTCCCCCCTAAATCAGGAGCACCCTCCGTGCAGGGGCTGCTGGACCAAGGGCCGTGCAGGGGGCTGGAGCTGTGGGGACTGCGTCTGCCACCCCCCTGCTGCTGTCACCTCCTCTGGGTCTTGCATTGTCATGAACCTTTCAGGTGTCACCGAGGGGTGCTGGGCTCTCCCCAGCCTGGCGATGAGCACCGGCCCTGGCAGAGCCGAGCGTAACTCAGCGCCCGAGGCAGGAGCCTGCAGCCCCAGCTGGAAGAGCCGGGGCAGGTCACCCGCAGGCACCGGACAAGGACAACCACCCCACCGTGGGCACTGCCAGCTCGGACCAGGCTGGAGCCTCGA